GTTTTGGGTATGGGGCCAAGATTTAAAATTACCCCCCCCCCCCCCCCCAAAAAAAAAAAAAACAAAAAAAAAAAAAAACTTAAACTAATTATTTTATATGAATAATATGAAATACCATTTTGGTTCAACCTCTAGTCTGGCGCTCCGGGACGTATGTCCCATCTGCAACCCCTTAGCTACGCCTCTGGCCATTTGCAACTGGCACTCCACCCTCCCCCCCCCATTAAAATACAAATAAACTTAAATGCTCCCTCCCCCAGGTGGAAAAGTCTGAAAGAAGCACAGATGGCAGGTGCCATTGAGAAATGTTATATATGTATGTATGTTGTTCCTTTACCCCACTATTTCAATTAGAACATACTTTCGTTTGAACAATTTTCCGTCCGAACAATTTTCCGTGTGAACAAATTTCGGCCTGACACATTTATTTCATTAGAATTTCCGGTAACTCATGAACACAGTATTGTTTCATTTTTAACCATTCCACTGGGGATTTTCATGGTTAGACACGACAATCTCTAAGCCAGCTCTCACAGCCCTGATCTCAGGGATCATGAATCCACTTCAATCCCGAACTACAGATGATTTGTCTAGCCCAGCGTTTCCCAAACTTTTAAGTTTCACGGACTGGTGGACAAGATTCGAAACTGCACCAGGGACCGGTGCCAGATTTATTAATTACATTTTCTTTCTATTTAAACATCAATATTCATGCCCTCAGGATCGGTAATTTAAGGCATGCGGACCGGTGCCGGTCCATGGACCACCGTTTGTGGAACGCTGGTCTAGCCCACTGTCTTTCTCTTTGAGGTGTGACCGCCTACATTGTTCGTTCTTCCTATCAATTGTTATATTTATTGATTTTCGCGCTTTAGTAAGCATACAATGGTGAATTTGTGCATAGGCAGTAAATGAAATGTACCCGATTCTTGTCTTCTCCAAAAGAAAAAAAAGTTTAAAAGAAAATTTTACACTATTTCCACTTTAAGTTTTCCATAAAAGTCGTTTAGGAATTACAACTTCACGAATCTAAAAGTCCTAACTAAATAGAGGAAACTGCTTATAATGGGGAAACAATATTATTATTTTTAAAGCTACTTTGATTATTATATTTCTGATATTATACAATAAATGGTTCCATAGAATTACTATCAACCGCATATATTTTCACGAAGATAACAATGTATACTCCGAGATAGATTTAAAAAAAAAAGAAATAAAAAACAAAAACAAAAATTGAATTATTTAAATTTAATATATTTTTTATTCACTTTCTCTTCTACGCAAACGAAACTTGTCATTTTGAAGCGATAGTGGAAACAAGCTGGACAATCTCAGCAAGAGAGAGATCTTGCTCTTTAGCTTGTCTTGACAGGATCAAAGGCGGTAACACAATGCCACCTAGAGGATCAAAGATAGAGACATCTTGTCCAAGATCTTTCTTGCCAAAGAGTGATACAATGCTTATTATTTTGCCAGCGTCCCCAATAAGCTCTGTCAGGCTGACATCCTCTACCGCAGCGTCTTTCTTGCCAAGAAGAAGAAATGGGGCGACTGTTTCTCCAACTTTAACGACATCCTGGAGAACTGTTAGCCAGTTGTCTTGGTCTAGATCTTTCTTTACGAGAAGGAGAAATGGGGCAACAGTTGCTCCGATGGTAGCGACTTCATGAAGAATTGATTGCCAACTTTCTTGGTCAAGGTCTTTCTTTCCGAGGACACCAATGAGTGGGGCGACTGTTGCTCCAATGGTAACAATATCGTGAAGAACTGATTGCCAGCTTTCTTGGTCAAGATCTTTCTTTCCGAGGACACCAATGAGTGGAGCGACGGTTGCTCCAATGGTAACAATATCGTGAAGAACTGATTGCCAGCTTTCTTGGTCAAGATCTTTCTTTCCGAGGACACCTATGAGTGGGGCGACGGTTGCTCCAATGGTAACAATATCGTGAAGAACTGATTGCCAGCTTTCTTGGTCAAGATCTTTCTTTCCGAGGACACCAATGAGTGGGGCGACTGTTGCTCCAATGGTAACAATATCGTGAAGAACTGATTGCCAGCTTTCTTGGTCAAGATCTTTCTTTCCGAGGATACCTATGAGTGGAGCGACGGTTGCTCCAATGGTAGCAACTTCATGAAGAATTGATTGCCAACTTTCTTGGTCAAGATCTTTCTTTCCGAGGACACCAATGAGTGGGGCGACTGTTGCTCCAATGGTAACAATATCGTGAAGAACTGATTGCCAGCTTTCTTGGTCAAGATCTTTCTTTCCGAGGATACCTATGAGTGGGGCGACGGTTGCTCCAATGGTAGCAACTTCATGAAGAATTGATTGCCAACTTTCTTGGTCAAGATCTTTCTTTCCGAGGACACCAATGAGTGGGGCGACGGTTGCTCCAATGGTAACAATATCGTGAAGAACTGATTGCCAGCTTTCTTGGTCAAGATCTTTTTTTCCGAGGATACCTATGAGTGGGGCGACTGTTGCTCCAATGGTAGCAACTTCATGAAGAATTGATTGCCAACTTTCTTGGTCAAGGTCTTTCTTTCCGAGGACACCAATTAGTGGGGCGACTGTTGCTCCAATGGTAACAATATCGTGAAGAACTGATTGCCAGCTTTCTTGGTCAAGATCTTTCTTTCCCAGGATACCTATGAGTGGGGCGACTGTTGCTCCAATGGTAGCAACTTCATGAAGAATTGATTGCCAGCTTTCTTGGTCAAGATCTTTCTTTCCGAGGACACCAATGAGTGGGGCGACTGTTGCTCCAATGGTAACAATATCGTGAAGAACTGATTGCCAGCTTTCTTGGTCAAGATCTTTTTTGCCAAAGATTTTAATTGCAGTTGTTGCAACTGTAACAGCATCGCCAAGTAGCTGGTTCCAGTCAATATCCTCAACTGTTATTTCCTTTTTCCCAATTAGAAATGGGGCTACTGTTGCTCCTATGGTAACAATATCTTGAAGAACTGATTGCCAGCTTTCTTGATCAAGATCTTTTTTGCCAAAGATTTTAATTGCAGTTGTTGCAACTGTGACAGCATCGCCAAGTAGCTGGTTCCAGTCAATATCCTCAACTGCTATTTCTTTTTTCCCAATAATAAATGGGGCTACTGTTGCTCCTATGGTAACAATATCTTGAAGAACTGATTGCCAGCTTTCTTGATCAAGATCTTTTTTGCCAAAGATTTTAATTGCAGTTGTTGCAACTGTAACAGCATCGCCAAGTAGCTGGTTCCAGTCAATATCCTCAACTGTTATTTCCTTTTTCCCAATTAGAAATGGGGCTACTGTTGCTCCTATGGTAACAATATCTTGAAGAACTGATTGCCAGCTTTCTTGATCAAGATCTTTTTTGCCAAAGATTTTAATTGCAGTTGTTGCAACTGTGACAGCATCGCCAAGTAGCTGGTTCCAGTCAATATCCTCAACTGTTATTTCCTTTTTCCCAATTAGAAATGGGGCTACTGTTGCTCCTATGGTAACAATATCTTGAAGAACTGATTGCCAGCTGTCTTGGACAAGATCTTTTTTTCCGACAGTGGTAACTTTAACAGCTTCTTCGAGAAGTTTCAACAAGTCAATGTCCTGAAGTCCTCTCCTTTCAATGATTTCTCCCCATTTGATCGGTAACGATATTACAGCATCCTGCTCTTCGCTCTCAACCTGAGTTAATAGATCGGTGACTTGATTTATAAATAGAATTTAACAATCCTTTTATTAATACAACTCTTATGATAGTTTATTTGATATTTGATCAACCATATCTTCAACTTTTTTTACAAATTTGCTTATTTGTTTTTTTTAAATATCTAAAAAAATCGGAACAATTTTAAGTTTACTATATGGCCTATAATGTTTTTTTATTATCAACTACAAATCTTTCCTTCAAAATTTAACAGTAGTTATTATTTCGAATCGGACATTTTTAAAGTAAACGGAATGCCAAATTCAAACTGTACATTTCTATAGGATTATTGTTGATAACATTACTTCTTTTGTTATTTGATTGAAAAGCTAAAGATACAATTGCTAGTTTTTCATTAAAAAAAAATCAAACAATGTAACCTCATATATGTGTCAAACTAATTGGGAAATCATATATATATATATAAATAAATATATATATTTTCTATCTTCAGTTGGCATAATAACAAGTGTTTTAAAAGTTGCTTATTACTTATTTAAATGCTATGTTCCGATGTGTGACTTCTTTCCACACGTGACAAGCGAATGCTATAAAACCAATCAATTAAAGAAATATTTGCTCACGGGTTTTGCTGTGACGGCACCGGCCAGGAGGAGAGGAACGAAAAGCTGAAGAAACATTCTGGCCGTCTGTTTTGTCAAACTGTGTGAACTGACAAGTAAAACAAAAAACAAAAAAATTATTTGTTAGTGTTCCATTTTTTGTATCAGATGGAGACCTTATTGCAATCCGTGGAGTGGCCACCGATTTCTGACCGAAATGTTTTACTGCAACCTGCCTCCACGAAAAAAAAACCCCAAAACTCCGCTGTTCCCCGAAAATGCCAACCCGTCATTATTAAGAAAAGAAGTACCGATAATCAGGTATCCCTCATATCTCTCTATTTTTTATCATCTCAATCTCTTTCAGCTATTTATTGTAATGTTTTGTTTCACTTGACTTGCAAAGTATTTTTAACTTTAGCAAAAGAAATTAATTAATTTATTCACTGAAATGTGCAAAATGCCAGATTGCAATGTATCTTTCGTGTTGACTTCAGATCACACCGAAAAAAAACGTGATTTCAATGCTTCGCTTCAAAGGGACACGGATATTCATAGGGCTCAATCGCAGTTGACTAGCTTATTAAAGACAGAACATCGCAACCAAGACCCCCCCTCACCCCCGCTTTTTTAAAAAACCAACTGACATCGGGCGATGGCTCATAATAACTTAAATTATACGATAGATTTCCAAGCAAACAACAATAATAACAAAAAAAAAATAAAAAAAAAATAATAAAAAAATTAATAAAAAGAAAAGGAAAGAACTAAAAAAAAAAAAAAAAAAAAAAAAAAAAAAAAAAAAAAAAAAAAAAAAAAAAAAAAAAAAAAGAAAAAAAAAAAAAAAAAAAAAAAAAAAAAAAAAAATAAATAAATACACATGCAAAATCAAACAAGCTTTATTTCTGTCAAACTCCCAAAATATGAGAAATACACCCCTCACTCTTTTACAATGAGCCCCGATTTCATTTTTAGTCCTTGTCCGTGGTCAGATTTCTCTCGATCCTGTGTGTATTTCTTGAATCCCAATCGTTAGCGCACTCTAGAAATTAAAATCTTGTTATACTCTTTTACAAATCATACATATCTGAGTTGTTGAAATATTACAGATTTATTATAAGACCTGTTTGACTTCTGAAACACTTGAAATATTTTCTTTATATCCATAGTCTCACAACCAATTCACACAAAGACGGCCTCTTACTGTCAATCAGAACAATTAGCACGCTCGATTTTACAATGCGGTTTTGAAGCAACAAGACATGTCATTGCGGCCTCTGTTCTACTGTATAGACAGCCCTTAGTCTACAAGGTTTACTCACCAAAATCAGGCGGTTTTGGAAAAAGAATTCAGTTTCAACTTGGACAAACGTGGCCTTTTATACCGTAAACCAGCAGAAGGAACACCCCCCACCCCCAAACCACCACCACCACCACCACCACACACACACGTTTTTCTCCCTCAACATAAAGTAAAATTTAACACATAAATTTAAAAAGTCATTCACTGCTTTGAAAGTCACGAATGATAACGCGTTGCTCATTTGAAATTTTTGTTAATGAAAGTATGACACGAAAAGATAAGACAATCGTCCCAATAATTCGTTGACGATTTTCAGTTTTCTTGTTGTTGATTGTTTCAACCTGTAGAATACACAAATTATAATTTATATTAATTATCTTTCAAATTTAAAAAGAAAAAAATCTAAGAAAAGCTCCAACAAGTAGGCTATTACTAACCTTCTCATCCTTGAGTTCGTTATGCAGTAAGCCTGAAGTTTGAAAAGATCAAATGGAATGCATATTTATTTATTTATTTACTTATTTTTTCGACAGTTGTTTTTAAAATGAAAATAATAAATAAAATAAAAATCGACATTCCATGTTATCTTTGAAAACTTGAGGAGCACTGCATAGGGAACTTATTGATGACGAGGTTAATTAAACTTTTAAGAGTTTTTTAGATTTATAAAAAAAACAATAAAAAAAACCCAAACAATTACTTTGAGAAATCTTCTCTCTCTTCCCTCTCCCATGTCAATGTCATAAGCTGATGCCCCAAACCCCTCATTGTAACACTCCTTAGGACGGGGGGGGGGGGGAGGGGGTGAAAGATTCACTTTTATTTTGAAGCGATTGTTGGAATAAATATGGTTGAGGATATTATGGCTGATCATATTATGGTTGGTGATGTTATAGTTGGTGATATAATTGTTGAGAAAGTTATGTTTGAGGATTTTATGGTTGAGGATATTTTTTGCTTGTTGTCTATTTCGATATTTTCATGAGGTTTTGTTGATTTTTTACTTGTATTTATTTATTTATTCTTGTGTTTTTTGGGATACATACCAAATCGCAAAAGAAATATTTGTGTGGCTATTTTGATTTCAACTTTTTCTTGTGATGTTTGTGGAAATTATTATTTGAAAGAAAGTTATTGAAGAANGGGGGGGGGGGGGCTACTCTGTTATTTATCAATTTCGCCTCTATTTTCATGGGTAAGGTAATTTCGTGCGACATCCTCAGCCAATCAGAAACACACCCTGTGTGAAGTTCAGGACCACACCATTAAGTACTATGTAGCCTATAATGTATATTATTATTATTTAAATAGTTTGGCTTGTCTTGAGATTTTAATGTAAAGCTACATTTTAATTATTTTTTTTTTGGGGGGGGGGGCCCGGGGGGGGGGTTAAATAAACAAAAAATGGTTAATGAAATTAAATTATGATATTTTAAATCAGGGCCGCCATGACCCGCAATCTTTAGAAATATCTTTTTTTGAACGATGACATTTCATCAGATGACATTATTCTTTCGATAGTACTCGAGCACTTGATTCTTCAATTTTTGTTTTTTGTTTTTGTTTTCTTTAAATAGACGTGTTGATGTGACACGATCGTTAACGAACAGGTCGTAGCTGTAGGTCTCGAGTCGGGGGGGGGGGGGCAAAGACATTAGTGAGCAGTGGGGTAGACGGAAGAAGCGTATATTATCACTTGGTTTGGGGGAACAGAGTGAGGGGGGGGGGCTCTTATCCCCCAGTAGCCAACAATAGGGCGACGCCAAAATTCAACACTCAATCGTTTTTACCTGGAAAGGTAAAGTAAAGTAATTTAGAATTTATAACTGAATTATAATATTTTAAAAAAAATAGTTTTAATTAAAAAGATGTAGGCTTCAATATATTCATTTGAGAAACAATAAAAGTATTAAATCAGGAATACCGAAGATAACTCGAACGCGAAGTTTTCTTGGATATGGCCAAAGCTCGCCAAAAAATTACAAAAGGCGCCTTTCTTAGATTTCTGATAATTCAGTCCTTAAAAATTAATACGATATGTCTATGGCGGGCTCTATGGTTGAACCATGATTTTCTTATTACAAAATGTTTAATTGTTTCCTTTTACGCAAGAAATCTTTTGAAGCTATTTTAAAAAAAAATTAATTTTAAATTTTCATTATTTAAAAAAAAATTGTCCCAAATTTCTTAGACTCTACTTGAAACACTTTTGTGCTGCATTGGCATAACGTCTTGTCTATTTATATACAAAGTGATTTTATTTCTCACTTTGGCTTATTGGTTTTCACAACGAAGGCTTTCAGCCAAAAGTCCCCTTTTCGCTGTCACTTGTCGTTTTTCTTGTCATTACGCTTAATTGTTTAATTAAAACGATTTGAACGCAATATATATTATTTTAAATTTAAAAAAAAATTATACTAGTCATAGCACTGTATTGTAGCATGTTCATGTGAGATGGTAACTGCTAAATGTACGAAGCAAATTTCTTTTCTTACTAAAAACCACACAATATATTTTCATAAATACAACGAAAGAAATCAAAACAAATCCCATCCCATACCCATCGTGCCAGGCAACCTACTTCATCCCATACCCATCGTGCCAGGCAACCTACTTCATCCTATATCCATCGTGCCAGGCAACCTACTTCATCATATACCCATCGTGTCAGACAACCTACTTCATCCTATACCCATCGTGCCAGGCAACCTACTTCATCCTATACCCATCGTGCCAAGCAACCTACTTCATCCTATACCCATCGTGCCAGGCAACCTACTTCATCCTATACCCATCGTGCCAGGCAACCTACTTCATCCTATACCCATCGTGCCAGGCAACCTACTTCATCCTATACCTATCGTGCCAGGCAACCTACTTCATCCTATACCCATCGTGCCAGGCAACCTGCTTTTGATGTGCTAATCACTAAATGACCAAGTAAACATTGCCTGCCTTAAAAGAACCATGCATATCTCCTGGGGGGGGGGGGGGCACTACCCCGCAGGGAAAGTCAAGTGAACCCCCGGAGCAAAATGTGTAAAACAATAAAAAGATTAAAAACTTTTTTAAAAAACATTTTAATCACTAAATGACCAAGTAAACATTGCCTGCCTTAAAAGAACCATGCATATCTCCTGGGGGGGGGGGGGGGCACTACCCCGCAGGGAAAGTCAAGTGAACCCCCGGAGCAAAATGTGTACAACAATATAAAGATTATAAACTTTTTTTAAAAACATTTTAAAAATGACTAAATTTTCTTTTTTTTTTTTAAGTTTTAAAAATATTAAAATCTGAATCCTTTTACCGATGACTGATTAGTGGAATATATGAAATATCGCTACGCTCGATATATTTGAAAATTATTATATTTAAGTCTAATCTTGTTAAACAGGGCGTAGGGTATTCGATTATAAATATCGCACTTGCCGCTCCTGATTATAAATCAAAGTCGCATAAATCGTCACTTTACATCATTTACTTTTTGGGCAAATCATAATTTTAAAGATTAAAGTAACCCTGTACTTAATTACCTTTGTATCAATACAGAGGTGTAGCGTGGTGGGGGCAGGGGGGGCAGATGTCCCGGGCGCCAGTTAGTTAGGGGCGCCAAAATGTGCTTTGATATTATTTTATTGATGAAAATAATGGGTTGGAGAGTTGAAAAAAAGAAAAAGGGGCGCTAAAATGAATCTTGTCCCCGGGCGCCAAACACCCTGGCTACGCCACTGCATCAATATCAAGGTCTGCAATTTTAATAATGGTTCTTGCTAAGTATCAAACATGCGCAATCTATTTTCAAATTGTATTTCATCATAAAAGCCTGAATTTGAAAGCAGGGATAGGTGTTAATTATCCATTCTTATAAAAAAAAATATTTTGACGTGCATAATTTTAAATTTAGTCGACGCCATGAGAATTGGAGAAGCAATGAGAATTGGAGAAGCAATGAGAATTGGAGAAGCAATGAGAATTGGAGAAGCAATGAGAATTGGAGAAGCAATGAGAATTGGAGAAGCAATGAGAATTGGAGAAGCAATGAGAATT